TAAGTTCAGTTTGCCATCTAAGCAATTTGCGTGTCTCAGATTTGATATATCAGTCAGATTCTCCAACAGTTCTGAACTCGGAGCACATGCACTGCTGCAGCCTTAAGGTTTCAGACTATTGTTTGTTCTGCAGCTTATAAAAAAAATGTCAGGACCACCATATTCCCATATCTCTCTATAGTGACATGACCTATTAACAGCGATATGTTTGAAGTTAATTATTTTTAGTTCTAAATAATAGTTCTGTGTTTCGCCTTCTATTTCACTGATCAGGCAGTACTCTTGCAAATCTGCGACAACTATGGCTCTGAATCCGATGGAATAGAACGCCCTTGGATCTGCTTATCTGCCGAATAAAACTAAGTTGTTGCTATATTGTCTACATGTTTAATGGGTTCTTGTGTAGTTAACCCTTCTGCTTGAAAGACGATGTAATGGCGAAGCGAAGGGAAAGAATTTTTAAGTCATATTCTGTTGATGTAGACTTGGAGAGATGTCTTTGATTCTAATACATCCCCAGGCCGAGTTTCTCTATTTGGTAATGATCTCCTATACTTTGTGGGTAAGCAGTGATACGCAGCAGTCTGTATAAACTGGTAAGCTAAAATTATCTTCCCTTATTAGTAGAATGCACTGCATTACTTTCCATCCAGGTAGCTCCTTTTGTCTTAAAAATCTCCTTCGCTTTCCTATAATCTCATATAGTATCCTCGTATTAAGCACTCTGCTTCTGTTTCTGGGGTAACCCAATTCATTGTGCTTTTGGAAGAGCGAATGTGATCGACTTTTTGTTTGGACTTTGTCATTAAACCTCTGCGCCACATAACAGATTGACTTAAATACGGTCATTAGTTTAGGGGCGATGCTACTATTTCTCGTATCTGCTTCCTTACAACTGTAGAGAGTTACCGTTGCTGTTTTGGCTTGGTTCTTTGGTTAACATATAAAGTAGCCACTGAATGTGCTGAGGTATCAGTCGAATTAATAGTATATAATTATCCAGGAAATGCTTTCAAAAATACTTAAATGAAATGGAAAATCTGAAAAAAATCCAAAGAAAATCCTCAACAATTTCATCAACCAGACTCTTTATGCAAATTTCGAGTAGCCAGCTACTAGCTAGAATATGTCTTAGCTTCTTCAACGTGGCAACTAGTTAATATTTTTAATTCTTGTTGCCGTCTTCTTTTTCAATTCTCTCAAGTCAAGTTTAATTATTTTTAATCACTTATTTATGATGATTAGCAATTTGGCAAAAGCATAAAAAGGCCAATACCCACAATTCACTAGCAAAATTTACCAAGTATTTAAAGGGTAGAAACGAGGAAATTCCTTGCGTTTTGTCTGCTAATAGCATTTCAATGTCCATTTGTGTGCTCTATTCTATATTTCGTAAGAGCAGATGAATTTTTGCAACAAAACATCTTGAGTTTTTCAAAACTTTCTTAGCGCTCTTAAAGTACAATTAAAATGCAATTTACTGCAGCGCAACAGCACTTTGGGCGGCTGTGTTTGATACGACACGAGAAGTATATATGTATATGCAAAGTAGCTAGGTACCATCTGAAACTTGTCTGGAAGTGTAAATTTTTTGGCCTGCTGCTGGCCGGACAACAAGTTTCTTCGCTTTGCGTTTAGTTTTCTACAATTATTGCTTTACCCTCTAATTTAGACCCCAAGTTCTTCTGCCCTCCAGCACTTTAACCCTCCAGTCTTTTATTAATTTAAATATTAACTACTCTTTCTCTATGCACTTTGGCACTAATTTGCATAAACAAACAAAAACGAACCCTTTCACATTGTGCGGCTGCTAGCCTCTTAACTTGGCCAATTTCCATAATTTACCATTTCGTGTATTAGCCATTGCAGACTTAACAGCTAATATCCGCTCGCTTGCCAATCGAGGAGCTGAGAGGGAAAAGTGTAGTAAAATAAAGAAGTAGCAACCTTTGCTGCATTTCATTAACACTCAGCGCATATTTGGCTTTCACACTTTTCCACATGCCACATGCAAATATTTGTTGCTACTTGCAGTGCACCTAAGTTGCCATTTTCCATGAAAAAAGTTCCAGAGATGCGAATATTTGAAAATTGTAAACTACACTACAAACTTTCGTTAGGGATTAAAATGTAAAGTGCAAACAGTGTTACTGTGGAAAGTCGACGCCATGGCGTATGCGTAATGTAAGCACTCCAAATAGTGCCAGTTACCAGTTAGCAGCTGCACTGAATGACCATACAGCTATGTAGCTGCTTTTGAACAACATTGCCACTTACATACACTTGCGCTCAGCATGCTCTTATCGTCTTGCGATGCAGCATTATTGTGTATGAAATGAATATTTGCGAACTCCTCAGCCCTTTCCACGATATTACCTCCAAAATGTTACCAAGTAACTACTACAATATTTGTTTGTCGATTTGTTGCAGCATTGTATTGTATTTGTTTACTTTATTGTAAGGGTACATTTGGGTGTTGGAAAACTTTCTGTTCGTATTTGCATAAATTTCTGTTTGGCATTTTTTGTAATCACCTTTGCACACCGTAACTCGATATTGAAATGAACTTTCTGCACTTGGCAGTTGGACATACTAAGTTGGACACGTTAGCAAGTTTTCGAAAGTATTCCCAATTTTGGTATTTTTGTTTTTTGAAGTTAGGGAATTGGGGTTCTTAGTAATACTGTGGGTAGGTTGTTAACATCTCTAGAAAAGTAATGCACTATGACTGGGGTATTCTGATTTAACGAGAAGCTTTTTACAAACTACGAGGTAAGGCTACAATTTTTTTGTGGTGAAAAAGAGACCATCTTTCAAACAAAATATACCACTAAAGCAGATTGTTTTAAAGCTTACGAAGTGGCATTTAATCTACGGCTTAATATAAACCTTACAACCAGCATGAACAGTAACAATCCAAATAGAGATTTGAGGTATTGAATCTAGTCCTGAAGGTTTCTGTGTGAAATTTGTTTTCAAAATACTACCGAGAATTATTTCAAAAAATCTTTTATATACCCGAGTGTCAAAATTAAATAATGCTAGTAAGCCCGGATGGCGTTAAAACGCCAAAAATTGAATTTAACAGGTGAAACCCTATTCAAAACCTCAAAAAAATTTCTTAATTATTTATCTAAACCATTTCTGAGTGATGAGAGGTCTCGCATGGTGTCGGTTTTCATTTCGTCAAATTTCAAATCAACCTGTACCGCTAAAAAGCTCTAACTTCAACAAATAAAACCTGTGAACGTCTATGTAGAATCCGAGTTCTTTAATTTGACTTCTCGTTTTGGAAATTCTAAATAGCGTTGCAGATGAGATGTCCTTAAAAAAAAAGATGTCAACCCTAATGAAAAGTATATCAGCCTAAAGTGATTATACATATTTCAATTAACTGATGAATTAAGTTTAATTTTCTTTTCTTATTTTAGGTTACCGGACTACTTCAGCGTATTCCAAGCTGCAGTTTCAGCTTTCATGGAAGCTGCTGAGAATCTTGGAACCGAGATGATGGGAAGGGACGTCTTCATTTTTAGTGATATCCAGGCTGCAATCAAATCTCTGAGCTCTTTCACGTTCAGAACAGACTACACCTCACTGGGGTCCCTGGTCATGGGAACATGTAGGAATCAGCATGGCAGATGAATTTGGGTGGCAAAGCACGACCAAGCAGATTCTTCCTGGTGAAGAACGCATTGGTGTATGCCTTTTGCCACTTGCAAGCTGCTACTTAGTGAATTTGTTTACAAACAAGCTGAAGAAAGATGGAGCCAAAGTACGACTTGTCGAATTTTCAGGCAGACTTGGCCTAAATGAGACCGGAAGCGGTCACGAAGTGTATACTCTCTTAGAAAAGAGGTTATATCTAACGTAGTGGTGGCTCTAACCGGGCACTGTCTAATAGTTAAGCATGCAGAAAGGCTCAGCGTGCCTTTTCGTAGATGTTTCAGAAGCTGCAAGTACGACGAAGAGGAGGAAATAGTCTTGCAACTCTTGTGTAAATTCCCTGCAATGTGTAGAAGCAGGCTGCATCATCTGGGTTCATCGTTCCTGGCCGACCTTAGGGAGGTTTCAAATACTGTCGTGGTTCAACAGGGAGAATAAGTCTCCTGTGTCAACGACCAGGCACCCATTTTGGAGGAAAGCGGCGAGGTAGTACCAATCTACAATTCTTTAGAATCGGAAGTGAACCATTCGCTAGCAAAAATGATGCAGCTCGCTGTCAATGACTCACCGATACCGGCGAGGGACCTCTTTCATTAGCCTAAAGGAGTAAGAGTGAGCGCGATCTGGCAGGATAGCTTAAGCAGTAGAAATTTTCTTCTACGGTCGGCAGAACCCATCATGTTTGTGCATGGGGCAGTAGGCCCATTGCGTCGGGGGTTACACTTTCAGAAGAGTTTGGTCTTTAGTGGCTGTAGTGATATTCCAATCATCTGGACAGTAATACATGAGAAGGAAAACTGTGGCTTTGCTCACTACTGAGCACCACCGCTTCGACCGGGGATCACTGAAGAAATAAAATACTGCAAGGGCCATCTTATCCATAGCGTTATTGCCTCCGATACTGCGGCCAATGCCTGTGGGTACGAAGAGATAAATGCGAACTGGGATGGACTGAAAGTTGTGAAGCGGCGAATCCTGTGTTGAATGGCGAACAAACTATACTGTTTACAGTGAAGAGTGTGCCTCCCAAGGAGGGCACAATAGTAAAAAATTTTCAAAAAACTTCCTTTCAAAGTTTAAAATTGTAAGGGTGTTTTTAAACTTATTTAGAACTGGGGATGAAAATTTTAAATCTGATATTATTTCGACGATTAACTTCCATTTTCGACCAAACTGCGTACAAAATTTCGGCTTAATTTGCAGGAAGTTTATATTTTTGGACAAGGTACTAAGTTGGATTTTGCAGAGTTTAAATATTAAAAATTGTACTTGATATTTTACTCTTCTTTTTATTTTTACTTTAAAAGTATACCAACACCAGCGGTTGAGTAAGTAAACTTGAAAGTAATCTAATTTTTTAATATAAATTCTGTGCCTCATAAATGCTTCTAGTATATATTTCTACCCTGAATAGGAATAGATAAGCTCTCTAAACTTTTTTAAGTAATATTTTTTTATCGCTAACTTGAGCTCATGCACTTTACAGCTCCACATCATGCAATTCTAATTTTTTCTCCAACACTTCCACCATCTTGCCATTATGTTTGATGGTGCGCAGCCACTGTACATAATCGGAAGGCAGGCGCGTCTCCACGGCGCCTTTCACAATAGTTTTCAGATACGTTTTCGATGGCTGTCGATCGTAGGGGATCTCCTCATGTTTTATGCTTCTCACATCTCCCGTTGGTTGTGTTGTTAAATGATAAGCGCGACATTCGATCGGCTTGCAATCGCTAAGAGCTACTACCGATACTGTTATGGGCACGTAGATGCCGTGTGAGACACCTTCTTGACTGGAAATAAATGAAGAATCAAATATTGTTAATAAGTTTTTATTGGAAATCGCGAAGTTGCATTTAGAAGTCGCTTTCTTAAGAACTTTTTTCACCAATCTTGATTTCATTTCAATCTTTCTGAATTTTTTTTCTATTTCCTGTTCATATTTTAAACCTTTCAGAACCAAAAGCCAGTTAGTGTCAGCCTGGCTTTAATTTTAGACTGAGAGTAGAGTAGTCCTATGATGAATAGGCATGCCTTGTTACTAAAAGAGTTAATTATTTATTAATATTTGCCTGTTTACACTCACTCATCTAAATCCTTTAAGTTGCTATTATCAATCTGCCATATGGCTCCATATACACAAGAGCCCTTCTTGGGCACAACTGTTGCTGGCGCTCCAAGCCAAGTACGCGAGCTAGTAAAAAAATCTAGTTGATAATCCTATGGGATTAAAAAGAAAGTGAAATATCAAAACGTTGGTAATATTATGTAATAAACATATCAATTACTTCCAGCTTCCCTGAACCTATCCGCACTGCTGTTGGATTTTGTATGTGTATTCTCTTGGCTAGTAAATTGCTCCCGAAGCCGAAGTAGTAAAACTTTGAAGTCATCTGGAAATACCAAGACGGAATTATTTTATTCGGCGTTGACGAAACAAAGCGGAGAATCCAAAGTAGTGGTCGTAGCAAAGTGCTTCGTATGACAAATGAAAGACAGATGGACAAAATATTTTGTTCGAAAGACTTTTGTTATTCTGGCACAAAAGTCTTAAAGAGGAAATGCATGACACCAGCTTGCTCGCAGCATAAAACATACCAGCATGCTGGTACAATATTTATTTCTTTACAAATGAGGTCCGGAAATGATCGAAATGATTTGATTCGAAATTTCATATTTTTTCAACCATTTTGTTAATCATTGGAGTTTTCAATTCACAACAGCAATATTGTGAACTTTAATCTTCTATAAACGCGGCTTTGACTCTTAATTTTTTATGTAAATGTTTTTAATTTTATATTCTTTTCATTTTTAGATTTTATTGCTTAAAAAAAAGAAAAATATATATACATTTTTTAATTTCATTTCATTTTTACAACCTTATTTTTTGTACTTTTTTAATTTAATTTATTTTTTTCTTAATTTAATTTTCTTTCAACATCCTTAAATCAAATGGGTCAAAATGACCCAAAACATAATAGGAAGAGGTAATTTGCTAACACTGCAGAAGGGTTAAAAAGAAACAATTTGTTTTTATTTCGTTGCGTCAAATTTTTAGGATAGTGTTTTTGCATACTATATTTTTTTCCAACAGTATATAGTACGCAGACCCAAAAAATAGTACAATACTTTATATTATAGTACGGTTGGGAACCCTATATATACACGAGATTTGGAAGTTTTTATCCAGACGTCCAATCGACATGTTTGAGGTATCGTTGGAAAGGTATTGCAGAGTGCGTTCAGAAACTGTATTTCAGCTTCATAAACAACTAATCGGATTCTTAAAAATTAGGCCAAAGTGTTGCGAAACAAAAAACGTTTTTTTTTTTCTTCTGCCGGTTTAAAGGGGTAAGTGGGTACACCCAGTGTTATTTTAGTTATTATTATTATTAGTGTTATTCTATAGGTCAAAGACTTTTATATTTCGAAAGACTGTGGTGAGTTGAAAGACCGTTGCCAGAATTGCCCTGTAAAAGTCATACGAGTCGCTTACGCCTTTCCGGGTGATCTCGGAGTCATCCCGAACTATTGGAATTTTTTGCAGAGAAGCGTATCGCCCTAAAACAATGACAAAATGAGATATAGCTGCCGCGACCAAAACATATCCCACCGGAAAAGCTTTTCAAAGCTTTATATAAATTTTGTAAAGCCGTGCATACAGTTAAAGCTCTCTTAGTTAATTATTGATACATACTACGTTTATACGTAAGCTATTTGCAAATACCTAACTCACTGTTTATTCGATGGTGAAAAATTATTTTTTAATATTGCCTGATTATAAAAAGGCAATAATATGACCATCGAAAAATAAAATTAACCTAAGAACTGCAGCGTCTTGCGCTTATTTGCAAATAGTACCACTAATCAATATTTATTTGCGTGATTTAGTTATTTGCAAATAAAAAATTAACTCAGCGTTTATACGGCAAAGTTCACCATTTTGCAAATTGTTATTTAGATTGATGTTAGATTGAATGTATTACATATCTCGATAGAGAAACGATTGGAAAAAATCTTTATAAACCAGCAATGGCCAAAAAAAAACCTTTTTGAAGCTTTCTATAGATTTTATTTGAACGCGCATAGAGTAAAAGCTCTGAATTTGCACGGCAGAAAAACACAAAACGTATAATGATCCTATTTACTCGCTGATAACAAGGCTCTGACTATCGCAATATTTATTGAAATGCGAATCTTCTAGTGATATGTATTTTGTATAAGGAAGATTCACTGAGCTAGACCTTCAGGATCATATTTACTAAAATACAGTTAAAGTAGCATATCCCTTAATACGAATTTTGACGGGCCAGGAAACAATATGAAATCGCTCACGTCTTATATAATGTCGTTTTTTTTTTTTGAAAGTATTATCTTCCGAGCTAAACATGTGACCACACCTTTACTTTAAAGCTTTTTTAATTGTAATAGATTGCTAAAAGCTTTTATGAAAATCAGCTGTTCGTTGGCTAAATTTTCTTGTTTGCTGTTTGCTTTACTTTCGTTGTGAAAGTGCTTCCCCAAAGCAACCATAAAACAGCTGTAGCGCTAGCGCGGCTAACCGCTGTCGTATTCATTTGGATCTACTTGCATTTTAATTTACATATTATATGCATATCGATTATTTGATTTACTTACTTTTTTTAAATATCTACTGTTTACTGCACGCAACTAATATTTTTTTCTTTTCTCGACGCGTTTCACACAATTTCTATTTCACGTTTATAAACGAATACGTCAAGTTCAATGTTGTAGAAGCGAATGTCAAGTTGACATGTGTACATACAATGTTTGATAAGAAGTAAAAGCTTTTGATTTACAATTGGTTGTAAAGCTTATTTGAAGTGAGCTTTTATAAGCAAAAATGCTGCAGCAATAAAAGGGTGCTTTGTTTGCCTAAATTCGGTGAAACGAAAAATTTACAGTTAATGCAATGGATAAAGCTTTTTTATAAGCTTGGTTGAGCTTTATTTTCGGCTATGTAAACCCTATGTATACGTAGTCAGTAATGAACAAAAATATAATTTAGCGGAAGGAAATAAAAACAAGTTAACAGGAATATAAGTTGTAAGTAATACAAAACTTTGTAGAATGGCAAGAAAACAGAATCTCTGAACCCTAACTAGCAAGGTGTAAAAAATCGTGTTTTAGCAAAAATGTGAATTTTATTGCTGGTTCCGGTAGAACACCCATCCAGTAAATATGTTTTTTCGGAGACATGTTTGCTTAAGGCGACAAATTCCTAGAAATGGGCGTGGCAGTTTTAGCACTTAAGTTAACAATATGAAGATTTTATTTTTGATTTCAGCAGAATATCCCTTCGATGATAACATTTCTTTCGAAATTTTGTTTTCGATTCCAAGAAACTTATAGAAAGGGCGTTGCAATTTTCGAATTAAAGATAAGAAATTTAGGTTTTAAGGGCTGTCTGCGGCTCTCAAGAAAAATGAAAATTTTATATAAAATTACGCACAAGAAATGGAAAACAAATTTTCCTCTAGCAAAATTGCTTAAATCAGTAGGGGTATTCTCGAAGTCTTGCACGTTGCACGTTGCAAGAGTACGAGGGCACCCCATTGCAAAGTTGTTGCATGCATAGGTAGCAAGCTGCAAAATGCTGTGTCAAATACAATAGATGCTTTCCAAGAAAACCGGTCAGGAACCGGCATTATTTTTTATTTCGATGAAACTGAAATATGTTGTTTGTTGGTCGAAATAATGAGACTCGTTTTTTTTACCGAAAAGCCTATAAGCTATTTTGTTTTTTTTTTATAACTCTCGATATTTAGTAAATACTTATATTAAAAATTAATGGATTTCAACAATTTTTTACTAAAATGTTAGAAACGTTAGTTGCCACTTCAAAATAAAATGTTGGAATTAGCGATTTTAATTTTTATAAATTTTTGATTTATTTTGTATAAAAATTTTTCAGAAACCAATTTTTGCAACAACTATGTTTTTTTTCCTGCACACTTTTTCACAAGAAAATAGGCACTATGAACACTACAATCGAGCTAGATCCCTAGTAGCTAAATTTTTTGTTTTCGGAGATATAATTTTTTTTTTAGAAAAAATACACTTTTGAGGTACATCCAATAATTTTCACACGAAATATTGTTATTTATTATGATTATATTATTTGGAATAAAATAAATTTTATAAAACTTTAAGTTATCGCACAATTTACAGAGAATGAGTTATTACGTAACCTTACATCCTATTTCACACGTTTGTACACAACCTCGCAAGTTTTCGCCGTATACACACTAGTGCTATTACTATATAGGACGTTTTTGAATCGGCTGCCGATATATGTAGGTCGATCAGCTGTCGATATCTAAATTCAAAATTTGAAAGCTGTTTTCTCTGGTTTTTGATTTTTTCGATCATGTCTCTTTTGCAGAAAATATGCAATACGTACTTCGCCAATTTCAAAATGCATTTTTTTTTTTATTATGGAATTACAAAACAGGAACTATTCCTTTGCCATATAAAGTAAAAGTCTTTTTATCTAAAAAATAATATTTTGGGTTTATTTTTTAGTTTCTCAAATAGAAAATACATATCTATAAATCTAAAACGATTTTTTTAATTTCGATAGAAATCAAAATATCCTTTAAAAAACTTACAAATAAAGCCAATACAACTAAGTAAATATGTACATATTTGTAAATATATCACAGTCATCCATCTTGCCAATTTAAGATGTATTTTAAGAATTCAACTTCACATCCTTTAATTCTAGTATGCGCTCCAAATCCGGTGCAACATGCCCATTATGCTTCACAGCCCTCAGCCAATCCACATACCAGGGCACAATACCGGTTTCTTCAGCACCCTTTACCAAACACTGCAAATAAGTTATCGAAGGTTGACGCGTAATTGGCACTTTGTCAGCGCTGGAAAAGTCATTTAAACGTGCTTTTGGTTGATCGGCCAGCAAATAGGCGCGTGCAGTAATCATAGTGTTATTCGGCAACATAACAGGTAAACTGACTGGATAGTAAATGCCTTCGTGGACGCCTTCTTGACTGCAAATAAAAGAAAATAAATTTTGAAATTAAATTAATGAGATAAAAAATAAAGAAAACTAAAATGAAAGAAAATAAAATAAAATAATAAAGAGGACTTTAACTGCTTTATAAATCGAAAATTTATATTTATATAAAGCTCCATAAATCAATTTAATTTTTTTTGTGAATAGTACCATAAGTCTTTATTTATTTCAAAACCACTCACTCATCAATATCTACTAAATTGCTCAAATCGATCTCCCAGAGTGTGCCATAAACGTAGGCACCATCTGTGGGTACGATGGTCGCCGGTGCACCACCCCAACGCTCCGTAAATGTATTAAAATCTAGTCTATAATCCTTTAAAATGCCCATACCGATTTTTTGTGCCGTCGGATTTTGTATATGTATTCGTTTCGTAAGCATATTACTGCCATAACCGAAATAAATGAATTTATTACCCAAACGTTCGGGTAACTCAGTCGTTATAACGTAGGCATTGGCGCAGGATAGATAGGGGTAGAGTAGTGCGAATAAAATAAGATATTTTGAAATCATTTCAATTCATAAATTCTTTTAATGAAAGTTTTATTTCCAATTGAATGCCTTGTATCTATACGCTTGGTTTGTCTAAATTAGACTGCCAGTGCTAGATTAGATTACTGCTGAAGCAAGCTTCGGTGTGAAATTTGGATTTGAATTTAAAATACCTATGTATGTGTGTAGATGTGTATGATTTCGCTTTATTGAATTAATCTTCATTCATACGTACATACATATACATAAATATATTCTTATGTATTTCTTCATCCACTTTCACATCTATTGTATGTTTGTTTGCATTTTAGAATTCCCATATATTATTGTTATTATCAGGTAATTCTCGCTTTAAGATGTAGTAGTTTGTATTAGCTTAATAGCCTAAAGGTCGATGTATGAGCGCAGCAATATTCAAACTAAAAAATATTCAGATTCACTATCAATTAGGTGCATTTAGAAATATCGGGGACGCAGCACAAATTTAAGTAAAATTTCGACGTAAATACTATACAACTTTACATACTTTTGCTGTAGCTGAGTTTGCAGAGGTGCTCGCTGTTATTGGTTAGATTCCAGACGGTCCCAAGATGTCAATATGTTAACACAAACTTTTGTTTTGTATTACCAAACTATGAAAAAGCACCTGCGAAGTGCAGAATGAAAGTGCATTTGAACGAAAAAGCCGACAAACACATATCTATGTAAAGTAAACAAGCCCCCGCTGCATCCCTTTTTCGATAGTTCCAAAGTATGTAGTTCTAAATTCAACAGATAAGATCTAGTTCTTACTAACTCCGGGCCAGTTTTAAATTCGTCATCTTAGATATAGATTTCTAATCAAAAAAGTGAAATAAAATAGTTTTTTCAAGAGTATAACATTTCGGTGGGGATCTAGTTACTATCGGACTAGTTCGTTTTTGGCGATAAAGATCTTGTCCCGAACTAGAAATTTTATTCACTAATCCGCGATTTCCCTGCATGATCCATATTTATATGAGTAATGAGCGGAGTAAGAAAATGATCAGTACCCTTTTGAATAAAATATGGTGAATTTAAACCTTAAAACTCCACAGGATGAATAGATTTTATTCAAGTCCGAGAAATATCGAATGTGAAAACGCACTCTTAACCATCTAGGTTCACCAGAAAAAGTCCTGCCTAGCCTTAACGTTCAGGTATATGTATGAGTTAAGGATCACTGTTAGCTTGTTGGGTGTGCTACAAAATAACTGTACTAAAAAGCACTGTAGTTCTACCCAGAATTGCAGCGGACGACGGTAAAGCGGTCGTCGGTTAACCGCTGTCAAAACTAAAAGTAACAAAGGTATATGGAATGGCTCATAATTGTGGCGGCAGCGTTTTTACTGCCGGCGTTTTTCGGTTGGTTTAAATTTATTTCTATTTTTACCGCCCAGCGGGGACGGCACAATGTTGATTGAGTATTGATAGTAGTATTTTTATTATTTTCACAAATTTTGCAATGTTTTCATCCATTTTTATTTCTAGCAAATCTACATACACGAACGTATCGAAAAAATATTTCATTTAATGATAATTTTCAAATCAAAAAGACATTTGACGGAAGCCGTCGTGCGCCGCAATTATGCTTACGCTGACGGACTTCACGTCGTCCGCTGTAATTCTGGGTAGAGCTTAAATTTAAATTAACCGAAAAATGTCGGCGGTGAAAACGCTGCCGCCGCAAATATGAGCCATTCCATATGCCTTTGTGAGTTTCCATTTTGACAGCGGTTAACCGCAGACCGCTTTACCGTCGGCCACTGCAATTCTGAGTAGAGCATTAGAATTTTGTATTGAATTTTGAAATGAAATGATTTGATTTATTTTAGAATAAAATTTTCACTTGAACGATCAAGATAAGATCGCAAATACTTTTTAATTTGTAACATATGTATTTCTATTGGAAAATTCCTACAGAAAATTTAATTTAAAAAAGATTCAAGGATATTTTATATTTGGCGGCCAACGTGGGGTCTGCCAATTTAAGCGATTCCTGTCAAAAGGGATCATTGATCCTCGAACCATACAAGATTGGCAAAGGAGTGGGCAGTTCCAAAGAATTTCTTTTTTCTTCGATCAATTTCTATGATCTCCGGAAGGCGTATAGCAAAAGAATAATTATTCTGCAATAAAATTTAATCCTTGGTAATATTACGCTACTAAAAGCACT